CAGACGAGAATCTAATGAAAGTATACTGTCTAGAGACTGTGGAGGGGCTAGTGACAGAGGAGAGTCTAGAGAGAGTGGAGGGTCTAGAGACAGTGGAGGGACTAGTGACAGTAGAGGGTCTTGAGACATTGGAGGGTCTAGTGACAGTAGAGGGTCTAGAGACAGTGGAGGAGCTAAAGACAGTCGAGGGTCTCGAGACAGTGGAGGGTCTAGAGACAGTGGAGGGTCTAGAGACACTGGAGGGTCTAGAGATAGTGGAGGGTCTAGGGACAGTGGAGGGTCTTGAGACAGTGGCCTGTCTAGAGATAGTGGAGGGTCTAGAGACAGTGGAGGGTCTAGAAACAGTAGAAGGGTCGAGAGACAGTTGGGCGACTATTGACAGTAGAGGGTATAGAGAAAGTTGAAGGTCTAGAGACTGTGGACGGTCTAGAGCCAATAGGTGATCTAGAGACAGTAGAGTGACTAGTGACAGTAGAGGTTCTAGAGACAATCGAGAATCTAGTGAAAGTAGAGGGTCTAGAGACAAAGGAGGGGCTAGTGACAGTGGAGAGACTAGTGACATTGGAGGGTCTAGAGAGAGTGGAGGGTCTAGAACCAGTAGGGGGTCTAGAGACATCGAAGGGTCTACACACAGTGGAGGGTCTAGAAACAGTAGAGGGTCTAGAGACAGTAGAGGGTCTAGAGACAGTGAAGGGTCTACAGACAGTAGAGGGGTCTAGAGACAGTAGAGGGTCCATAGACAGTAGAGGGTCTAGAGACAGCAAAGTGTCTACAGACAATAGAGGGTATAGAGACAATGGAGGTTCTAAAGACAGTGGATAGTCTAGAAACAGCAGAGGATCAAGAGACCTACCTTGAGGCTACCTTGAGGTGCTTCCGGGCTTAGTGTCCCTGCGGCCCGGTCGTCGACCAGGCCTCCTGGTTGCTGGACTGATCAACCAGGCTGTTAGACGCGGCTGCTCGCAGCCTGACGTATGAGTCACAGCCTGGTTGATCAGGTATCCTTTGGAGGTGCTTATCCAGTTCTCTCTTGAACACTGTGAGGGGTTTGCCAGTTATGCCCCTTATGTGTAGTGGAAGCGTGTTGAACAGTCTCGGGCCTCTGATGTTGATAGAGTTCTCTCTCAGAGTACCTGTTGCACCTCTGCTTTTCAACGGGGGTATTCTGCACATCCTGCCATGTCTTCTGGTCTCATGTGGTGTTATTTCTGTGTGCAGGTTTGGGACCAGCCCCTCAATTATTTTCCACGTGTAAATTATTATGTATCTCTCCCGCCTGCGCTCAAGGGAGTACAGATTTAGGCTCTTTAGTCGGTCCCAGTAATTTAGATGTTTTACTGAGTGGATTCTAGCAGTAAAGGATCTCTGCACGCTCTCTAGGTCAGCAATTTATCCAGCTTTGAAAGGGGCTGTCATTGTGCAGCAGTACTCCACTCTAGAGAGCACAAGCGTTTTGAAAAGTATCATCATCGGTATAGCATCTCTAGTGTGAAAAGTTCTTGTTATCCAACGTGTCATTTTTCTTGCAGTTGTGACGGCCACTTTATTGGGTTCTTTAAAGGTAAGGTCTTCCGACATGAGTACACCCAGATCCTTTACATTGCCTTTTCGTTCTATGTTATGATTTGCCTGAGTTTTGTACGTGGTTTCTGTTTTTATATTTTCAATTTTTCCGTAGCGCATGAGCTGGAACTTATCCTCGTTAAACACCATATTATTTTCTGTAGCCCATAGAAAGACCTGATCTACATCTGATTGGAGGTTTGCCGTGTCCTCTATGTTGCCAACTCTCATGAAAATCCTAGTGTCATCTGCAAAGGATGATACAGTGCTATAGGTTGTGTTCTGGTCTATGTCCGATATGAGGATGAGAAAAAGTACTGGAGCAAGTACAGTACCCTGGGGGACTGAGCTCTTCACGGTTGATGGGCTGGATTTTATTTTGTTGACTATTACACATTGGGTTCTGTTAGTCAGGAAATTGTAGATCCATCTGACACTGACAATGTCAGTGTCAGAGAGATTGTCAGATTGTTAGATTGTCAGACTGTCACTGACACTGACAATCATATCTGTGAAGGCAAAATACGCCATGACTGCCCACCTTTAAAAATTAATTTCGTAAACTTTGAATTTAAACCCCCACCACATCTCCCCCCCCCCTAAACCTCAGTGGAGGATCTAGAGACAGTGGAGGGTCTAGAGACAGTAGAGGGTCTAGAGACTGTAGAGGGTCTAGAGACAGTGGAGGGTCTAGAGAAAGTGGAGCGTCTAGAGAGAGTGGAGAGTTTAGAGACAGTAGAGGGTCTTGAGATATTAGAGGGTCTAGAGACAGTGGATGGTCTTGAGACACTGGAGGGTCTAACGACAGTAGAGAGTCTAGAGCAGGGGTGGGCAACCTCTGGCACGCGTGCCAAACTTGGCACGCCGATGACTTGTCTCTGGCACGCAAGAGCATAGGTTACCCTAAGCACAGATGCAAGCACATGTTACCCTAAGCACAGACAAAAAAAACTACTTTCCTTGGGGTATAAGCTTACATGCCATGACAGTATATGTACGTCCTGGTGGTGAAGAGGTTTAAGCTCTACGAAGCTAAAGAGGTCTCAAGAAAAAGAAGTTGATCTTGTTGCCATAGTTACCTTCTTTTTTTTACGTCATCGATCATGCCGATGTATGATGATTCCCCTCTATTTACTTTGGCTCATATTTTATGTAATAAGCCTTTCTAACCTAAAGGCTGCACCCATAACCATAGTGTACACTGACAATCATATCTGTGAAGGCAAAATACGCCATGACTGCCCACCTTTAAAAATTAATTTTGTAAACTTTGAATTTAAACCCCCACAACATCTCCCCCCCCCCTAAACCTCATGTGTTTGAATGCCGCCCGACTTCAGTTTGACGTATATTAATTAAACTCACTTTACTATCTAAATCTAAAGCATCTTCACCTTCGAAAGCTAAAGAAAGATAAGAATTCTTTAGGGGTGATGAAGTATGTGAAGAGATGGTTGCTCTTGCATCACTACCTGAGCGTACTACCGGGGCTGAAATATGTAAAACAGTTGTGAACGAATTCTCTACTCGGCAAATTGACATTTCAAAAATAGTATCCGTCACAACAACACATTAAGGAACGAACGCGGGAAAATAATATTTTAGATTTAGTGCTAACTAACAGGGAAACACAAATTAATGACATCGAAATAGGGAGTGAGCTAGGGAACAGTGATCACAAAGTAATCAGATTCAGCATAGAATGGAATAGACCTGTAGGAGAAAATTCTGTTAAAGTGCCAGATTTTCGAAAAGCTGATTTTAATAGCCTAACAATTTTTTTGGTCAAATAGATTGGAAAGTCTTGGGTATGGGGTGTGGGCCGGTTTTGGAGCGAGACATGAACCCAGCGATAGGTGACGTAACAGGGGATTTCGATGTGGATTTAATATATAACTTATTTAAGAATATTCTAAACAAAGCACAGGAACGTAGTATACCATACAAATTGAATAAATCGAATACTAATGACCCAAAGTGGATAACAAATAATTTAAAGAACCTTATAGGTAAAAAGAGAGCTTGGTACAAAAGGATTAAGAATGGGGAAGTCAGTTTAGAACAGGAATTCATACAACTGGTTAGAAATGTTAAAAAAGAGATTAGGAAAGCAAAAAGAAACTATGAAGTTCGCATAGCAGAGCAAGCAAAGTCAAATCCTAAAGGGTTTTTTCAGTTATATCGAACTAAGACTAGAGAAAGGATAGGTCCATTAAAATCTGAGACAGGTCAAATAACGGATAATGACAAGGAGATGAGTAGTATTTTTAACAAATATTTTATATCTGTATTTACTAAAGAAGAACTTAACAATATGTCTTCAGCCGAACAAGTCTATGTGGGTGGGGATGAGGACAGGTTTAGCAGTTACCAGGGAGGATGTAATTAAACAATTAGAAAAACAAAAACAAAACAAATCCCCAGGGCCGGATGAAGTGTTTGCCAGGGTGCTTAAAGAATGCAAAGAGGAGCTTTCCGAGCCACTGACTACCATATTTAATAAATCAATAGAGTCAGGCAGAGTGCCAGAGTCGTGGAAGGTAGCTAATGTGGTACCAATTTTTAAGAAAGGAGATAGATCACTTGCGTCAAACTATCGGCCAATTAGCCTAACGTCTATTGTGGGAAAGTTACTTGAATCAATAATTGCAAATACAATTCGTCTCCATCTTGAAAAACATAAATTAATAAATGAGTAGCAACATGGTTTTACAAATGGCCGTTCATGGTTAACAAATTTGCTAACTTTTTATTCCAGCATAGTTGAGGCAGTTGATAGTGGTAAGGATTGTGATGTTGTGTATTTTGACTTTAGCAAAGCTTTTGATACAGTGCCACATGAAAGACTAATTAAAAAAATAGAAGCTCATGGTATTGGGGGTGCTATATTAACTTGGATTAGGGCATGGCTATTCCAAAGGAAACAGAGTTAGTATAAATGGGGTTAAGTCAGAGTGGGATAATGTTGTTAGTGGAGTACCTTAGGGCTCTGTCCTGGTACCTCTGTTGTTTGTAATATATATAAATGATTTAGATTCAGGTTTGAGTAGCAACATTTGCAAATTTGCCGATGATACGAAAATCGGTAGGGAAATTAATTCGGAGGAGGACTCACTATCACTTCAGGTTGATCTGGATAGGGTTTTGAAATGGTCAAAGGATTGGCAGATGCAGTTTAATGCTGATAAATGTAAAGTTCTGAGGCTAGGTAATGATGATAGAGTTACAAGATACGAGCTAGATGGTGTTGAGATTGCGAAGTCGGATTGCGAAAGGGATCTGGGAGTTATGATTAGTAAGAATTTAAAACAAAAGGATCAATGCATGAATGTTCGTAATAAGGTGAATAGGACACTGGGATTTATTAATCGCAGCGTTAGTAACAAGACACCTGGTGTGGTTCTTAAGCTATATCTTGCTCTGGTTAGGCCCCATTTATATTATGCAGCTCAGTTTTGGTCGCCGTATTATAGAATGGATATAAATTCACTTGAATGTGTCCAACGTAGGATGACTAAGTTAATTCCCCAAATTCCAAATTAGAAATCTTTCATATGAAGAAAGATTAACAAAGCTTAAGTTGCATTCACTGGAAAGGCGAAGAGTTAGGGGTGACATGATAAAGGTGTACAAGTGGATGAATGGACATAACAGGGGGGATATTAATAGGGTATTAAAAATATCAACACAAGACAGAACACGAAACAATGGGTATAAATTGGATAAGTTCAGATTTAGGAACGACTTGGGTAAATACTGGTTCAGTAACAGGGTTGTTGATTTGTGGAACCAATTGCCGCGTAACGTGGTGGAAGTGGAGTCCCTCGATTGTTTCAAGCATGGGTTGGACAAGTATTGGAGTGGGATTGGGTGGTTATAGATAGGAGCTGCCTCGTATGGGCCAATAGGCCTTCTGCAGTTACCTTTGTTCTTATGTTCTTATGTTAACAGATGGTGCCCCAAACATGACTGGTGAGAAGGCAGGATTTGTAAATCTGTTTGCAAAAAGTGTTGGTCATCCACTGATTGGCTTCCATTGCATCATACATGAGGAGGCTTTATGTGCAAAAGTTGGCCTAAAGGAACTGCAAGAAGTGATGCAAACAGTTACCAAGGTTGTTAATTACATTTGTGGTCGGCCTTTAAATAAAAGACAATTTCAAACTCTACTGGATGAGGTAGAATCTGTGTATAAAGGACTGAAAATGTACAACCATGTTCGTTGGCTTAGCAGAGGCTTGGTTCTGAAACGATTTATTGAATGCTTAGATGAGATAAAGCTCTATTTGAACGACCAACAAGTGTCATACCAGGAATTTTCTGACATCGTGTGGGTTTGTAAACTGATGTTTTTTGCAGATTTTTGTGAACATTTAAATGAATTGAATATTAAGTTACAGGGCGCTGGTAAGACACTTTATGTTATGTTTTGTTACATAAAAGCTTATGAAATGAAGCTTAAAGTTTTTAAGAGGGATGTAGATAATGAGAGATTTAGATACTTTCCAAACCTAAAGAGGTACATCAGTGATCTAAAAGATGACAGAACAGACCACAAATGTCTTCAAAAGCTGTTTGTAAACATTATCGAGTCAACAGTATGGTAGTTCTCTACAAGATTTGCCAAATTCAGAGAACTGGAAGACACAGTAAAGTTCATCAAGTTTCCAGACAGCATCAAAATGGATGAAGTAAACTTGCAAATGTTTTCAGGGATAGACATGGATGATTTTGAGATGCAGTTGATTGAATTTCAGAGTAGCTCAATTTGGAAGCAGAAATTTGTTGACCTTAGAGTTGACTTGGAAAATATTGAAAGAGAGAGATTAGAGATGAAAGTAACAAAGAAAAATGCGGAAAACGAAGTATTAAGGACTTGGAATACTATTCCAGAAAATTATGTCTGTTTAAAAAACCTTGCAACAGCATTGCTAACCATGTTTTCGTCTACATATGCCTGCGAATCTTTGTTCTCAATTATGAACTTTGTTAAGTCTCGTAACAGGAGTAGCATGACAGATGAAACTAGCGCTGCATGCATATCTCTCAATGTTACTAAATATAAACCCGATGTAAAATCTGTCATCAGTTATGCAGCAGCAGAAGTCTCACTGACAGTATATAAAAGGAGACAACAAGTTTTTTATCTGTTGTATTCTATTAAAGACGCAAAAGCTTAAAGGCTGTTGAAATGTACTTCTGAAGGTTAAAAAAAAAAATTCTGTTTTTTATACTATGTTTTACTGCACTGAGGTAAATTATTATTTTTTCGTTTAAAAAGTTCTTAAGAAATACCAAATATGTTCTAAAAAATGGTTGGCACGTGGAAAAAGTTTGTGTCAGAGACTTGGCTGATTTTGGCACGCACTCTCAAAAAGGTTGCCCACCCCTGGTCTAGAGAGTGTAGAGGGTTTAGAGACAGTAGGGGTCTAGTGCCAGTGGAGCGTCTCGAGACAATGGAGGATCTGGAGACAGTAGAGGGTATAGAGACAGTGGAGGGTTTAAAGACAGTGGAGGGTCTAGAGACAGAGGAGGGTCTAGAGACAGTGGAGTGTCTAGAGATAGTTGAGGGTCTAGTGGCAGTGGAGAGTTTAGAGACAGTAGAGGGTCTAGAGATAGTAGAGGGTCTAGAAACAGTACAGGGTATAGAGATAGTGGAGAGTCTAGAGACAGTGGAGGGTCTAGAGAGAGTAGAGGGTCTAGAGACAGTGGAGGGGCTAGAGACAGTGGAGGGCCTAGAGACAGTGGAGGGTCTAGAGATAGTGGAGGGTCTAGAGATAGTGGAGGGTCTAGTGATAGTGGAGAGTCTAGAGGCAGTGGAGGATCTAGAGAGATTGGAGGGTCTAGAGACAGTGGAGGGTCTAGAGACATTGGAGGGTCTAGAAACAGTGCAGGGTCTAGAGACTGTGTAGGGTATAGAGACAGTGGAAGGCCTAGAGACAGTGGAAGGTCTAGAGACAGTGGAGGGTCTAGAGACAGTGGAAGGTCTAGAGACAGTGGAGTGTCTAGGGACTGTTTAGGGTCTAGAGATAGTAGAGGGTCTAGAGACAGTGGAAAGTTTAGAGGCTGTAGAAAGTCTAGAGATATTGGAGGGTCTAGAGACAGTAGAGGGTCTTGAGACAGTTGGGGGACTATTGACAGTAGAGGGTATAGAGAAATTTGAAGGTCTAGAGACTGTTGACGGTCTAGAGCCAGTAGAGGATCTAGAGACAGTAGAGTAACTAGTGACAGTAGAGGGTCTACAAACAGTCGAGAATCTAGGGAAAGTAGAGGGTCTAGAGACAGAGGAGGAGCTAGAGACAGTGGAGAGACTAGAGAGAGTGGAGGTTCTAGAGACAGTAGATGGTCTAGAAACAGTGGAGGCTCTAGGGACAGTGGAGGGGCTAGAGATAGTTGAGGGTCTAGTGACAATGAAGAGATTAGAGACAGTAAAAGGTCTGGAGATAGTAGAGCGTCTAGAGACAGTACAGGGTCTAGAGATAGTGGAGGGTCTAAAGACAGTGAAGGGTCTAGAGATTGTAGAGGGTCTAGACACAGTAGAGGTTCTAGGGACAGTAGAAGGTCTAGTCAGAGTCGAGGGTCTAGAGTCAGTGGAGATTCTAAAGATAGTAGAGGGTCTAGAAACAGTGGAGAGTTTAGAGAAAGTAGAGAGTCAAGAGATATTGGAGGGTCTAGAGACAGTAGAGGGTCTTGAGACTGTGGCGGGTCTAGAGACACTAGAGTGTCTAGAGACAGTGGAGGGTCTAGAGACAGTAGATGGTCTAGAGACAGTAGAGGGTCTAGAGACAGTAGATGGTCTAGAGACAGTAGAGGGTCTAGAGACAGTGGGAGGTCTATAGACAATAGAGGGTCAAGAGACTGTAGAGGGTCTAGAGAAAGTGGAGGGCCTAGAGACAGGGGAGGGTCTAGAGACAGTGGATGGTCTAGAGAGAGTGGAGGGTCTAGAGTCAGTGGAGAGTCTAGAGACAGGGGAGGGTCTAGTGACAGTGGAGAATCTAGAGACAGTGGAGGGTCTAGAGACAGTGGAGGGTCTAGAGACAATGGAGGACAGTAGAGGGGCTTGAGACAGTTGCTGGTCTAGAGACAGTGGAGGGTCTAGAGACAGTGAAGGGTCTAGAGACAGTAGAGGGTCTAGAGACAGTGGGGGCGTGGACTAGTGACACTAGAGGGTATAGAGAAAGTTAAGGGTTAAGAGACAATTGACGGTCTAGAGCCAGTGCACGATCTTGAGACAGTAGAGGGACTAGTGACAGTAGAGGGTCTAGAGACAGACGAGAACCTAGTGAAAGTAAACTGTCTAGAGACAGTAGAGGATCTAAAGACAGTCGAGGGTCTCGAGACAGTGGAGGGTCTAGAGACAGTGGAGGGTCTAGAGACACTCGAGGGTCTAGAGACAGTGGAGGGTCTAGAGACAGTGGAGGGTCTATAGACAATAGGGGGTCTAGAGACTGTAGAGGGTCAACAGAAAGTGGAGGGTCTAGAGACAGGGGAGGGTCTAGAGACAGAAGAGGGTCTAGAGACAGTGGAGGGTCTAGAGACAGTGGAGAGTCTAGAGACTGGGGAGGGTCTAGTGACAATGGAGCATCTAGAGACAGTGGATGGTCTAGAGACAGGGGAGGGTCTAGAGACAGTGGAGGGTCTAGTGACAGTAGAGGGTATAGAGACAAATGAGGGTCTAGGGACAGCGAAGGGTCTAGAGATAGTAGAGGGTCGAGAGACAGTGGAGAGTTTAGAGACATTAGAGGGGTCTAGAGAGAGTAGAGGGTCTAAACAGTGGAAAGTTTAGAGACAGTAGAGAGTCTAGACATATTAGAGGGTCTAGAGACAGTAGAGGATCTAGAGACAGTAGAGTGACTAGTGACAGTAGAGGGTCTAGAGACAGTCGAGAATCTAGTGAAAGTAGAGGGTCTAGAGACAGTGGAGGGGCTAGTGACAGTGGAGAGACTAGTGACAGTAGAGGGTCTAGAGACAGTGGAGGGCCTAGAGACAGTAGAGGGTCTAGAGACAGTGGAGGGTCTAGAGACAGCGGAGGGTCTAGAGACAGTGGAGGGCCTAGAAACAGTGGAGGGTCTAGGGACAGTGAAGAGTTTAGAGACAGTAAAAGGTCTGGAGATAGTAGAGCGTCTAGAGACAGTACAGGGTCTAGAGATAGTGGAGGGTCTAAAGACAGTGGAGAGTCTAGAGATTGTAGAGGGTCTAGAGCCAGTAGAGGTTCTAGAGACAGTAGAAGGTCTAGTGAGAGTCGAGGGTCTAGAGTCTGTGGAGGTTCTAAAGATAGTAGAGGGTCTAGAAACAGTGGAGAGTTTAGAGAAAGTAGAGAGTCAAGAGATATTAGAGGGTCTAGAGACAGTAGAGGGTCTTGAGACAGTGGCGGGTCTAGAGACACTAGAGTGTCTAGAGACAATGGAGGGTCTAGAGACAGTAGATGGTCTACAGACAATGGAGGGTCTAGACACAGTGGGTGGTCTATAGACAAAAGAGGGTATAGAGCCTGTAGAGGGTCTAGAGAAAATGGGAGATCTAGAGACAGGGGAGGGTCTAGAGACAGAGAAGGGTCTAGAGACAGTGGAGCGTCTAGAGACAGTGGAGAGTCTAGAGGTAGGGGAGGGTCTAGTGACAGTGGAGAATCTAGAGACAGTGGAGGGTCTAGAGACAGTGGAGGGGTCTAGAGACAGTGGAGGGTCTAGAGACAGTAGAGGGTATAGAGACAAATGAGGGTCTAGGGACAGTGAAGGGTCTAGAGATAGTAGAGGGTCTAGAGATAGTAGAGGGTCGAGAGACAGTGGATAGATTAGAGACATTAGAGGGGTCTAGAGATAGTAGAGGGTCTAGAAACAGTGGAAAGTTTAGAGACAGTAGAGAGTCTAGAGATATTAGAGGGTCTAGAGACAGTAGAGGGTACTGAGACAGTGGCTGGTCTATAGACAGTAGAGGGTCTAGAGACAGTGGGAGCGTGGACTAGTCACAGTAGAAGGTATAGAGAAAGTTGAGGGTTGAGAGACAATTGACGGTCTAGAGCCAGTGGAGGATCTAGAGACAGTAGAGGGACTAGTGACAGTAGAGGGTCTAGAGACAGACGAGAATCTAGAGAAAGTAAACTGTCTAGAGACAGTGGAGGGGCTAGAGAGAGAGGAGGGGTCTAGAGACAGTGGAGGGTCTAGAGAGAGAGGAGGGGTCTAGAGACATTGGAGGGTCTAGAGACAGTGGAGGGTCTAGAGACAGTGGAGGGTCTAGAGACAGTGGAGGGTCTAGAGACACTGGAAGGTCTAGAGATAGTGGAGGGTCTAGGGACAGTGGAGGGTCTTGAGACAGTGGCCTGTCTAGAAACAGTGGAGGGTCTAGAGAAAGTGAAGGGTCTAGAGACAGTAGAAGGTCGAGAGACAGTTGGGCGACTAGTGACAGTAGAGGGTATAGAGAAAGTTGAAGGTCTAGAGACTGTTGACGGTCTAGAGCCAGTAGAGGATCTAGAGACAGTAGAGTGACTAGTGACAGTAGAGGGTCTAGAGACAGTGGAGGGGCTAGTGACAGTGGAGAGACTAGAGACAGTGGAGGGTCTAGAGAGAGTGGAGGGTCTAGAGACAGTGGAGGGACTAGTGACAGTGGAGGGTCTAGAGACAGTGGAGCGTCCAGAGACAGTGGAGGGTCTAGCGATAGTAGAGGGTCTAGAAACAGTGGAGAGTTTAGAGAAAGTAGAGAGTCAAGAGATATTAGAGGGTCTAGAGACAGTAGAGGGTCTTGAGACTGTAGAGGGTCAACAGAAAGTGAGGGGTAGAGACAGGTGAGGGTCTAGAGACAGTGGAGAGTCTAGAGACAGGGGAGGGTCTAGTGACAGTGGAGGATCTAGAGACAGTGGAGGGTCTAGAGACAGGGGAGGGAATAGAGACAGTGGAGGGTCTAGAGACAGTAGAGGGTATAGAGACAAATGAGGGTCTAGGGACAGTGGAGGGTCTAGAGATAGTAGAGGGTCGAGAGACAGTGGAGAGTTTAGAGACATTAGAGGGGTCTAGAGGGAGTAGAGGGTCTAAACAGTGGAAAGTTTAGAGACAGTAGAGAGTCTAGAGATATTAGAGGGTCTAGAGACAGTAGAGGATCTAGACAGGGTAGAGTGACTAGTGACAGTAGAGGGTCTAGAGACAGTCGAGAATCTAGTGAAAGTAGAGGGTCTAGACACAGTGGAAGGTCTAGAGATAGTGGAGGGTCTAAAGACAGTGGAGGGTCTAGAGATTGTAGAGGGTCTAGAGACAGTAGAGGTTCTAGAGACAGTAGAAGGTCTAGTGAGAGTCTAGGGTCTAGAGTCAGTGGAGGTTCTAAAGATGTAGAGAGTCAAGAGATATTAGAGGGTCTAGAGACTGTAGAGGGTCTTGAGACAGAGGCGTGTCTAGAGACACTAGAGTGTCTAGAGACAGTGGAGGGTCTAGAGACAGTAGATGGTCTAGAGACAGTAGAGGGTCTAGAGACAGTGGGTGGTCTATGGACAATAGAGGGTCTAGAGACTGTAGAGGGTCTAGAGAAAGTGGAGGGTCTAGAGACAGGGGAGGGTCTAGAGACAGAGGAGGGTCTAGAGACAGTGGAGGGTCTAGAGACCGTGGAGAGTCTAGTGACAGGGGAGGATCTAGAGACAGTGGAGGGTCAAGAGACAGTGGAGGGTCTAGAGACAGTGGAGGGTCATGAGACAGTAGAGGGTATAGAGACAAATGAGGGTCTAGGGACAGTAGAGGGTCTAGAGATAGTAGAGGGTCGAGAGACAGTAGAGGGTCGTGGGACAGTGGCTGGTCTAGAGACAGTGGAGGGTCTAGAGACAGTAGAGGGTCTAGAGACAGTGGGGGCGGAGACTAGTGACAGTAGAGGGTACAGAGACAGTTGAGGGATGAAAGACAATTGACGGTCTAGATCCAGTGTAGGATCCAGAGACAGTAGAGGGACTAGTGACAGTAGAAGGTCTAGAGACAGACGAGAATCTAGTGAAAGTAAACTGTCTGGAGACAGTAGAGGGGCTAATGACAGAGGAGAGTCTAGAGACAGTGGAGGGTCTAGAGAGAGTGGAGGGTCTAGAGACAGTGGAGGGACTAGTGACAGTAGAGGGTCTTGAGACATTGGAGGGTCTAGTGACAGTAGAGGGTCTAGAGACAGTGGAGGGTCTAGAGACAGTGGAGGGTCTAGAGACCGTGGAGGGTCTAGAGACAGTGGAGGGTCTAGAGACACTGGAGGGTCTAGAGATAGAGGAGTGTCTAGGGATAGTGGAGGGTCTTGAGACAGTGGCCTGTCTAGAGTCAGTGGAGGGTCTAGAGACAGTGGAGGGTCAAGAGACAGTAGAGGGTCGAGAGATAGTTGGGGGACTAGTGACAGTATAGGGTATAGAGAATATTGAAGGTCTAGAAACTGTTGACGGTCTAGAGCCAGTAGAGGATCTAGAGACAGTAGAGTGACTAGTGACAGTAGAGGGTCTAGAGACAGTCGAGAATCTAGTGAAAGTAGAGGGTCTAGAGAGAGTGGAGGGACTAGTGTCAGTGGAGCCTCGAGAGACAGTGGAGGGTCTAGAGACAGTGGAGGGTCTAGAGACAGTGGAGGGTCTAGAGACAGTGGAGGGTCTAGAGACAGTGGAGGGTCTAGAGACAGTGGAGGGTCTAGAGACAGTGGAGGGTCTAGAGACAGTGGAGGTTCTAGAGACATTGGAGGGTCTAGACACAGTGGAGGGTCTAGGGACAGTGGAGGGTCTAGAGATAGTTGAGGGTCTAGTGACAGTGAAGAGTTTAGAGACAGTAGAAAGTCTGGAGATAGTAGAGCGTCTAGAGACAGTGGAGGGTCTAGAGATAGTGGAGGGTCTAAAGACAGTGGGGGGTCTAGAGATAGTAGAGGGTCTAGAAACAGTGGAGAGTTTATAGATAGTAGAGAATCAAGAGATATTAGAGGGTCTAGAGACAGTAGAGGGTCTTGAGACTGTAGGGGGTCAACAGAAAGTGGAGGGTCTAGAGACAGGTGAGGGTCTAGAGACAGAGGAGGGTCTAGAGACAGGGGAGGGTCAAGAGACAGTGGAGGGTCTAGAGACAGTAGAGGGTATAGAGACAAATGAGGGTCTAGAGACAGCGAAGGGTCTAGAGATAGTAGAGGGTCTAGAGACATTAGAGAGAGGGTCTAGAGACAGTAGAGGGTCTAGAGACAGTAGAGGGTCTAAACAGTGGAAAGTTTAGAGACAGTAGAGAGTCTAGAGATATTAGAGGGTCTAGAGACAGTAGAGGATCTAGAGACAGTAGAGTGACTAGTGACAGTAGAGGGTCTAGAGACAGTCGAGAATCTAGTGAAAGTAGGGGGTCTAGAGACAGTGGAGGGGCTAGTGACAGTGGAGAGACTAGTGACAGTAGAGGGTCTAGAGACAGTGGAGGGCCTAGAGACAGTGGAGGGTCTAGAAACAGTGGAGGGTCTAGGGACAGTGAAGAGATCTGAGACAGTAAAAGGTCTGGAGATAGTAGAGCGTCTAGAGACAGTACAGGGTCTAGAGATAGTGGAGGGTCTAAAGACAGTGGAGAGTCTAGAGATTGTAGAGGGTCTAGAGACAGTAGAGGTTCTAGAGACAGTAGAAGGTCTAGTGAGAGTCGAGGGTCTAGACACAGTGGAGGTTCTAAAGATAGTAGAGGGTCTAGAAACAGTGGAGAGTTTAGAGACAGTAGAGGGTCTAGAGATAGTAGAGGGTCTAGAGACAGTAGAGGGTCTAGAGACAGTGGAGGGTCTAGAGACAGTAGAGGGTCTAGAGACAGTAGAGGGTCTAGAGACAGTAGATGGTCTACTGACAATGGAGGGTCTAGAGACAGTGGGTGGTCTATAGACAGTAGAGGGTATAGAGACAGTAGAGGGTCTAGAGAAAGTGGGAGGTCTAGAGACAGGAGAGGGTCTAGAGACAGAGGAGGGTCTAGAGACAGTGGAGGGTCTAGAGACAGTGGAGAGTCTAGAGACAGGGGAGGGTCTAGTGACAGTGGAGAATCTAGAGACAGTGGAGGGTCTAGAAAAAGTGGAGGGTCTAGAGACAGTGGAGGATCTAGAGACAGTAGAGGGTCTAGAGACAAAAGAGGTTTTAGAGATAGTAGAGGGTCTAGAGCAGTGGAGGGTCTAGAGACAGTAGAGGGTCGAGAGACAGTGGTCTAGATTAGAGACATTAGAGGGGTCTAGTGATAGTAGAGAGTCTAGAGACAGTGGATAGTTTAGAGACAGTAGAGAGTCAAGAGATATTAGAGGGTCTAGAGACAGTAAAAGGTCTTGAGACACTGGAGGGTCTAGAGACAGAGTGTGGTCTAGAAACAGTAGAGGATCTAGAGACAGTGGAGGATCTAGAGACAATGGAGGGTCTAGAGACAGTGGAGGATCTAGAGACAGTAGAGCGTCTAGAGACAGTAGAGGGTCTAGAGACAGACGAGAATCTAGAGAAAGTAAACTGTCTAGAGACAGTGGAGGGTCTAGAGACAGTGGAGGGTCTAGAGACA